ACCCAAACGTATTGTGAGGGTTTGCTGGGAACGTCTGGCAGAGTCTCCAGTGAGACGGAGTTTTAACTCCCACCTCCGAGAGAACTTCGAACATGTTCCGAGGGAGGTGGGGGACATTGAGTCTGAGTGGACCATGTTTCGTGCCTCTATTGTCGAGGCAGCTTACCGGAGCTGCGGCCGCAAGGTTGTCAGTGCCTGTCGCGGCGACAACCCTCAAACCCGATGGTGGACACCGTCGGTGAGGGATGCTGTCAGGCTGAAGAAGGAGTCCTATCGGGCCTTTTTGGCCTGTGGGACCCTGGAAGCAGCTGATGGGTACCGGCAGTCCAAGCGACATGCGGCTCGGGTGGTCGCTGAGGCAAAAACTCGGGCATGGGAGGAGTTCGGAGATGCCATGGAGAATGACTTCCGCACGGCTTCGAGGCGATTCTGGTCCACCATCTGGCATCTACGGGAGAAAGCTGTACGCCATCAACACTATTTATAGTGGGGGTGATGTGCTGCTGACCTCAACTCGGGATGTTGTGGGTCGGTGGGTGGAGTACTTTGAAGACCTCCTCAATCCCACCGGCACGTCTTCCACTGAGGAAGCGGAGCCTGGGGACTCTGGGTCGGTCCTCCAATCTCTGGTGCTGAGGTCACCGAGGTGGTTAAAAAGCTCCTCGGTGGCAGGGCCCCAGGGGTGGATGAGATTCGCCCAGAGTTCCTTAAGGCTCTGGATGTTGTAGGGTTGTGTTGGCTTACGCGACTCTGCAATATTGCGTGGACATCGGGGAAGTTCCCCTGGATTGGCAGACCGGGGTGGTGGTCCCCCTATTCAAAAAGGGGGACCGTAGAGTGTGTTCCAACTACAGGGGAATCACGCTCTTAAGCCTCCCTGGTAAGGTCTATTTGGGGGTTCTGGAGAGGAGGGTCCGTCGGATAGTCGAACCTCGGATTCAGGAGGAGCAGTGTGGTTTTCGTTCTGGCTGTGGAACATTGGACCAGCTCTACACTCTCAGCAGGGTCCTGGAGGGTGCGTGGGAGTTTGCCCAACTGGTCTACATGTGCTTTGTGGACTTGGAGAAGGCGTTCGACCGTGTTCCTCAGGGAACCCTGTGGGGGGTACTCTGGGAGTATGGGGTACCGGGGCCTTTGATATGGGCTGTTAGGTCCCTGTATGACCGGTGTCAGAGCCTGGTCCGCATCGCCGGCAGTAAGTTGGGCTTGTTCCCGGTGAGAGTTGGACTCCGCCAAGGTTGCCCTTTGTCACCGATTCTGTTCATAACTTTCATGGACAGAATTTCTAGGCGCAGCCAAGGTGTTGAAGGGATCCATTTTGGTGGCCTTAGGATCGCTTCTTTGCTTTTTGCAGATGATGTGGTCCTATTGGCTTCATTAGATCGTGATTTACAGCTTTCGAGGGAGCGGTTCACAGCCGAATGTGACGCGGCCGGGATCAAGATCAGTTCCTCCAAATCCGAGGCCATGGTCTTGAGCCGGAAAAGGGTAGAGTGCCCTCTCCGGGTCAGGGAGGAGGTCCTACCCTCATCTATGGTCACGAGCTTTGGGTTGTGACCGAAAGAATGAGATCTCGGATACAAGCGGCCAAAATGAGTTTTCTCCGCAGGGTGTCTGGGCTCTCCCTTAGAGATAGGGTGAGAATCTCGATCATCCGTGAGGGACTCAGAGTAGAGCCGCTGCTTCTCCACGTCGAGAGGAGCCAGTTGAGGTGGCTTGGGCATCTGTTTATGATGCCTTGTGGACGCCTCCCTGGTGAGGTGTTCCGAACACGTCCAACCAGAAGGAGGCCCAGAGGAAGACCCAGGACACGCTGGAGGGACTATATTTCTCGGCTGGCCTGGGAATGCCTCGGGATTCCCCCGGAAGAGCTGGCCCAAGTGGCTGGGGAGAGGGAAGTCTGTGCCTCCCTACTTAGGCTGCTACCCCCGCGACCCGACCCCGGATAAGCGGAAGAAAATGGACGGATGGATGGAGGTGATGGCTGGACATTGGCACCATTGACCCCCGCAACCCAAAAAGGAAGAAGCAGGTAAAGATAATGGATGGATGGATGGATGGATGGATGGATGGATGGATGGATGGATGGATGGAACGAGGTAATGAAACACCAAATTGTTAGGATTTTGTATTTTTCTGTTTTTGTTTCTTTTTTGTTGCAGGATGATCTGAAGAAGATGATTTCCCTGCTGGGCAGGTTGTCTCCTCTGACAGCTGTTACCCAGCTGTTTCCTGACAGCTGATGAACATCTGGGTATTAGAGTCTGAGCTGAGACACTCATTTTTGTCAGTCTGTTAGTTGCCTCCAAGGAATGTTCCAGGTTCCTTGTATTATATTTCTCATGCGTGCTCCTGTGGGTAAAAGTATCTTAAGACTTACCAGATTTTCTGCAGAACTTCTTGTGCTCCTTCTATTGACTCCACTGTGGCTGTTGTGTGTACTCAGTAATATTTTATTGTTCAATTATGACCAGCGTTAAGGATGTTAACGGCTCTCCAGGTAAGCCTCTATGCCCTGAAAAGGAATAAGTGGGTAAAGATAATGGATGGATGGATGAATGGATGGATAGTCTAAGCCTACAGCAGCATAACAAGCCAACCCTAATTATAGGATTTATCAAAAAAGGAAAGTCTTCAGCCCAGTCTTTAAACTGGACAATGTGTCAGCCTCACGGACAGAAACTGGAAGTTGGTTCCACAAGAGAGGAGCCTGCTAACTGAAAGATCTTCCTCCCATTCTGCTTTTGGAAACTCTAGGAACCATAAGTAAGTCTGCAGTCTGAGAGTGAAGTGCTCTGTTAGGAAAATATGGAACAATAAGATCTCTAATATAAAATGGAGCTAGGTTGTTGAGAGCTTTTTAGGTTAGAAGTAAAATTTTGTATTTTATTCTGGATTTGACAGGGAGCCAATGGAGATAAACTAAAACTGGAGAGATATGAGCTCTCCCACTAACTCCAGTTAAGACTCTGGCAGCAACATTATGGATCAACTGAAGACTTTTAAAAGAAGTATTTGGACATCCAGATAATAAACCATTGCAATAATCCAGTCCAGAAGAAGAGGTGGCAGGTTTGTGAGCCATCTGAGGATGTCAAGACGAACATAATGTGTGTGAAATGTGATAAATTCACTGCCTATTTGTTAATTTATTTTGGCAGAAACTATGTGACTTTATTCACAATAACATTGAAACACATTTTGTGCTTCTGTGGAAGCATGTGTTGCTTGGCCTCTATGAAAAACGTTTGCTTAAAACCAATTACTACCTTATAAACCTTCTACTATTACTGGCAAAATATAACATTCATTGTAGAAAATACTCTGGAAAGAAGCCAAGTTTGCTGTTTTTGACAATGAGGTCAAGTATTCCATTCTGACAATTAAAGACTGATGAAAAAATGGCACTTAAAACCATTGAGATGTGTACTGCAATGAATGTTTTATTAGAACTATAAGCCCCCCTAGCATTATTTCCTGTGTTCACTTTCCATGTGTTGGTTTATTTGATTTCTGTTTAGACTGATATTGATATGTACAAAAAAAATCATTTTCATTTAATGTGGACATTATATTGTAAACTGGAAATTTGCTAATAAAGTTTAAAAACAATGTGCTAAATTCATTTGCAACAAAGCACACTGTGATGACATGTCCCTCATGTGATGTGCAAATGACAAAACAAATGCATCTTATTTATTTCCACCTTTTCATTTTTGTGTATTTCTGTCATAAACATGACAGAGTGTTTGCTATCACAACATGACATATCACTTGTGGACAGACACACATGATGCACTGCGTTCAAGTTGCTAATCTCTTATTTTGTTGTCATTTTGTTCATTTCTGGTTTAAAAACAGTGTCTGAATAAATATCAAGGTTCGTGCTCAATAATCCAGGAAAATAACTCAACAATGTTCAGTCAGGTCATCTGGACAGTTTCTTTTTCTTGTTGAGAGAAGTTTCGTCCTTCATCCGAACGGCTTCATCAGTCTGAGGAGCCACAAACAAACTGTTTCCCCACAAAGAAGCACACTCCCACAGTGGACCAACCAGTTTGCTGGTGATAAGATGGTTTCTGGGGGCCTCCCTCTCCCCCATCGACTCCTCCCATGCAGCCACAGCCAAAATGGCTCAAGATATCAAGGTTCATGCTCAGTAATCCAGGAAAATAATCCAACAATGTTCAGTCAGGTCATCTGGACAGTTGCTTTTTTTGTTGAGACATTGCGTCCTTCATCCGAAGAACTTCATCAATCTGAGGAGCCACAGCCAAAGAAAGTCTGAATAAAGTTTATTTTCAACACAAATCCTTGTCACTCATTTGTCTTGATTTTAAATAAACGGGTCAATTTGACCCCAAACAAATTTCAATTTAATTTATAAACATCACTCCTTGAAAAGGAAAAAATAATCAAAAAATTTTAATTTAATGTATAACCATTGTTTTTTCTTAGTAGGTTTTTACCGTGGACATAAAAAAAATTGTCATGCATTTTTTTAAATGAAAAAACTAGTGAATTTTCCTCATTGAGCCTTGATCTGTGAGAGGTTAAAAACATCATTGCACTACTCATTGAAATTGTTAGTAATGGATCCAACAAAGATAAGTCAGGTCCTCTGGACGGTTTCTTTGAGTTGAAACGTTTCATCTCTCATCCAAGAGACTTCTTCAGTCCAAGGAGCCACAACAGACTCAGTCTTTTAATAGCACGCTCACATAGTGGGTCAACCAGTTTGAACAAAAAGAATCCCTGACTTAATTTTGTTGGATTTTTTTTTAACGTGGATTATTGAGCATGAACTTTGATGTTAGTGAGTTACAGATACAAAAATGTTTTTTGAGATTTGTTTGCTTGTGACACCATTGCATGATTAAACATGGTTAAACTGACCCAGGGACATCAACAGGATTGTTGTGAAGCAGTATTTCCTGCGTCCACCAGCTGGCGGCGCTAATGAGCCGAAAATAAAAGACCAGAAGAAGAATCATGGTCTGAAAACAGAGGAAGAAGAAGAAAAAGAAGAACTTTGGCGCTCCTTAAATTGTTTTATTCATTAAATACTAGCAGGAAATCACTGATACCATCGATCGGAGGTGAGTTGGACTGTTCTTCATCCAAAGTTTTTGCTTGATTTCCGGTTTATTTCCGTGTTTTTATTTTTCTATCCCGTTAGTTTCACTCTGTTAGCGTTAGCCACTTCCTGTTCGCTCACAAACTGATCGATAAATAATCAATATCAGAAGGCGTTCGGTTAAAAATCATTAAACTCGTGTTTTTTCGAGTGAGGGATACTTCACTCTCGGTTTCTGTAGTTGTTTTGTTCAGCGTCTAACATAGTTTCTGTCGTCCCACAATTGTTTTTATTTTTTCTGTTTCTAACAGAAATTAAAAATAAAAACATTTAATGTTAAAAATAAATAAATAAAAAAAAACAAGCACTGAACAGAAAACTGAGCCGAATACACATATTCTCAGCCTTTAGATAATCATCCTTTTTTCAGACAGTATTTGCATAATTACACATAATTCTTAATTTGTTTTACACAGGATTTCACATCTTTGAAAAATCTATCAAGTTATGAAACTTTAATGTAATTATTAATAACAAGATTCGTTGGCTGTCTAAAGTAGTTTTATTTACAATTAACATGACACTTTTTATTGTCCTTTAGAACAAAAACTGAATTCACGATAATCTCTAAGGATATGTGCCATTGAGACTAAAATTAGACATTGAAAATGAAGTTTAGGTGATCTGCAGCTATAAATATAACTATTTACAAATTCCTTTCTGTATTGCCTCCCTGCCTTTCTAGGGAGAGTTTGCGTAAGTAAGTAAGTAAGTAATATTTATTTATATAGCACCTTTCACAGACAATGACATCACAAAGTGCTTCACAAAGTAAAAGTAAATAAAATTTAAATAAAAGCCAGTCTGTATAAATAAGTCTTAAGATCATTTTTGAAAGAGTCAATGGAATCTGAGCAGCGCAGTGACAGAGGGAGAGCGTTCCAAAGCCTGAGGGCCACCACTTGGAATGCTCTGTCTCCACGTGTTTTAAAATAAGTTCTCGGGACTATCAGCAACATTTGATTTGAAGATCTCAAAGTCCTGATGGGACATAGAAGCTTCAAAAGGTCCAGTAAATATTTGTGTGGGCTCTCACCAGTACTCGTTTCCTCCCACAGACAGATCATGTGTTAGACTGATTAGTAACTCTAAATTGTCCCTAGGTGTGTGAGAGAGTGAATGGTTGTTTGTCTCGTGTCCCCGTGATGGACTGGAGACCTGTCCAGGGTGTCCCTTGTCTCTTGCACAGTGACTGCTGGATATGAGCACATCCCTGCGACCTGTAAATAAATCGTAGGTAAAGAAAGTGGCTGTATGGACAACTGAGTGTCTTCACTACTGACTGTGGTCAAAATGCAGAGAAACAGGAGAAAAAAATAAACTAGAGCTCAGGAGCTTTTCTCAACAGGTCTTCTTTCACAATGTCAGCTGAGATGAACGTGCCTACCTTTGACGTCTGACATTTTGTTCTCATTGACACATGCATGTAAGGGTTGAACAATTTATTTACTTTAACATATTTAGTTTGATATAAGTTATATGTGATGTCCAACATAATTAACTGTTTTTAATTACTTAGTCCAAGGTTGTGATGGCCCATGAGCAGAATTTTGGGGCAGTTGAGCCCATCACCCACTTACCGTCATAATACCATATCTGTTTATATTGTCCATGTTTTATTGTTTGTGCACAAGACATTCACCACACATTTTTATTTTACAAACAAGTTTGAGCTGCCCTGTGTAGTATTAATTGTCCTCATAGTATTACTTGGACATTGTATCGTCAAAACTAAACAGTCCACAAATGTTTGTTTACTGACAGAAAAATACACCTTATAGAGATGTTCCGTTGTGCTTTAATTGCTGTGACTAAAAGGGGTAATGTGTTCTTTCTCGTACTTGCTGAGCAAGTGTGGTGTGCAGCACCCCAATAAGACTAATGAAGTCAGGCGGCGGGGCTAGGTTCAAGTGTTGTGTCAGGAAACAACAGAATTATCAGTTACTTTTTCAGCAGCAGAATTCATTACATTAGCATTAAAATATTTTTGCGATTACAACAAATGTAGATTGATATAAAAAGGTATAGTTTGGTGCTTGTGGCAGTCGCTTACATTACATATACATCAGGCCAGCTATGACTCGAAGAAATTTAATTTTAGGCATGCTTTGCTTGCCAACATCATGTTTATTTTGGTATGTCATCACAAATAATATTGCATGTAGTCTTACGACGGCGTTAATTTAACATTAAACTAATTTTTTAACCTACAGTATTTAACAACAAAGTCCATGCTCAGTAATCCAGGTATACAATCCAACATTTTTCAGTCAGGTCATCTGGACAGTTTTTTTTTTTTCTGAAATGTTTCACCTTCAATCCAGAAGGCTTCATCAGTCAAGGAAACGCACAACAAAACTGATTCTTCCCCCAAACAGCTTACTCCAAAGTGGAACAAACCAGTTTTGTTGGTGCTAAGTTGGTCTCTTTGGCACACCCCCTCCTCCATTGCCGGCCCTCTTCCTTGTTGACAGTCATGTCAAACTGGTTGAAAACAACAAAGTCCATGCTCGATAATCTACAGTATTTAATTTGATAAAAGTTGATTTTAAATAATTTTACAATCTACAATTTTGTCTCTGGTGTCTTTGGACAGCTCTTTGGTCTTAGCCATGTTAGTAGTTGGAGTCTTACTGATTGTGTGGGGTGGACAGGTGTCTTTATGCAGCTAACGACCTCAAACAGGTGATTCTAATTTAGAATAATCAGTGGAGTGGAGGTGGAGTTTTTAGAGGCGGACTAACAGGTTTTTGAGGACCAGAATTGTTGCTGATTGGCAGGTGCTCAAATACTTATTTGCAGCAGTAGCACACAAATAAATTATTTTAAAAATCATACATTGTGATTTCCGGATTTTTTTTATTTTTAGATTATGTCTCTCACAGTGGACATGCACCTAAGATGGAAATTTCAGACCCCTCCATGATTTCTAAGTTGGAGAACTTGCAAAGTCGCA